AGCTTAGGTACTGCACTTGGGATGGATTCAAGTTGACTAAGATACACCAATACTTATGGAATTCTGGAGTATTGGGAGAAGGCTGGGTCTGAACAGGAGCATACCATATACATACAAATTTCTGTTAATCATTAAGGTATCTGGCCTGGTGCCAGGGAATCTACCCCAGAGACTGAGTATATACAATATTCTGATAAGTATATATACAGAACCAGGCTTGTAAGCGTTCATGAAAAATAGGGTTTAGGACCAAGCTCTGGAGAGAGGTGTGGATTGGAAGCACAGATTTAGGAGGTGCAGTGCAGGTGATAACTGAAACCATAAGGACAAAGGAAATCACCAGGAGAGAATGAAGAGGGTAAAATAAGGAGGTCAAAATTCTGAGCAGCACATTAAGGAATGAGAAGGAGACAGAGTGGCCTAGACAGTGGGAGGACCAGGAAAGACAAAGTATAGTGTATCAGTGGCAAATTTTTGATTAGTCAAATAATATAGGGAGGTCTCCTGTTGCCTTGGTAATTAGGTCATTTGTATGTGCCTAATGAGAGCAATTTTAGTAGACTTATGAGTTGGAAGCCAGATTGTATTTTTTTGCTTTTGAGAAATGTGTAAAAGTGAGGAAGACTATTCTTCAAACAGTTTGATAATGCCAGGCATGGTGGTATACCCCTGTAATCCCTGCAACTCAGGAAACTGAGGCAGGAGGATCACAAGTTTGGGGCCAGTCCTAGCAATTAGCAAGGCCCTAACCAAATTAGACACTGTCTCAAAATAAAAAGGGCTGGGAATGTGGCTTAGTGGTTGTTTCCCAGAACCACAGGGACTGTGATACTAGGTTCAATCCTTAATACAAAAAAAAAAAAAAAAATTTATAGTTCAGGGAAGGGTACAGACAAGAGTTAAGAGTCTTGATATTAAAAGAGCTGAGATGTAAAAATGCCTTTTGTAATTAATCTTGAATACACTTAAGAATCAGTTTGAGTGCTTGGTAAATTCCTCTTCCCTCATCTTGCATTTCATGAGTTAGTTCTGTTACAGGCAGGCATGGGGAGAACCTCCTTACTTTGAAAGTTATAGAGGGAGAGTAGTTAAAATGATTTTAAGAAGTGGTCACAGAGCTAAGGTTCTGGAGGGAATGAAACAGAATAGACTCTGAACAAAAGAAGAAGAGTGACAATGGCAGGTGGGTGTGGCTGAACATAAATTTCAGGTTGGGAGCTTCATGGTGCTCTCCTCCAAGTGGTAAGTTATATAAAATCCTCAAGGCTTCTGAAGCAGTTAGCAATGCTGCCTTCAATGAAGGGTAGATGCTTTCTCCTTTTATTTGTCTTCACACTTTCAGCCTGTAGCTCCAGAATGAAGAGATAAATATGTGAGATTTGCAAGATTATTGCAAGATATAAGTAAATCCCATTAAACAGGGAGAGGGAAGCAGCTAGCTATCCTATATTCCCTGAATACCATGAAGCATTGTATTACTTAATAGTGTTTTAGGATAGGGGCCTACTTTTCTGCCTTACAAGAGTGAAGATCTAAGTTTTGTTTCCCTTAATCCTAACAAGTAGATTATCTTAGGGTTATATTTAAGTACCTGTTTACCAGTTTATTTTATTAAAGTGATTTTTAATAAACACTACTTTCAGTTCTTAAAAGAAGTTGTACGAGTTCCCCCATAGTCAAGTTTTTGTAGTCTCTATAAATCATGCAAACTTTCTAGCAGTTTTTCCAAAAGGAAAAGTCAAATATTTTGATTTTTTTTAGCTTACAGCCTTTATGCAGATCTTTCCAAAGTACTGAGCCAAAGTATAAACCACTTGGAAAACTGAAGAGAGCTAGAACAATTCATGTAGACTCAGGTAAGAATAATGGTCCTAGGTCCAGTGGTGTGGGTTTCCTGCAAAGATGTTTTTCAGGATGTTCTGGTCTGGTAAAGTGGCTTTGGGCTGATAGACATGGTCTCCAGGAAGAGCTTTGCTTTACTATCTTCAGGAAGTCAGGAGTCCAATGTCCTTCCCAGGTATGTAGTAAGTGGTGAAAACCTGTTGCACATTGCAAGGTGTTCTCAGCTTTCTGGGAGCATGCTCTGTGACAAGTAGAGGCCCCAAAGAGAGGCTGTGTTGTTACCCCTGCATGTTTCTCTTCAATATAGTCTGAAAATGAAGCCATTATTATTTTAATTTCTTATCAGACTGATCAGTGATGGAGAAAAATCAATGGATTTTCTCTATACTTTCTTTCAGCACTACTTTCATTTTTTAGAGATAAGTTCCCATATAGAAATCAGAACTTTACAGTCTGAGTGAAGCTCTCCTGATTTACACCCAGCCATATTTTATGGTTAGGATTCTGGTTTCCTCTGGTGGAGAGTCAGTTACTATACCATATAGTGAATATATAATGCTTCTTGAACACCTAGTACATGGCTGGTATTGTGCTAGCCATATGGTATCTGTTTTGTTTGAGCTGCCGTAACCAAAAAAAAAAAAAAACAGATTGGGTAATTTAAACAGACTTATTACTTACTCACCATACTGGAGATTAGAAATCCAAAATCAAGGGGCTGGCAAGGTACATTTCATTCTGAGGCCCTTTCTCTTGGCTTGTAGTTAGCCATCTTCTTTTGTGCCCACAAGGTGAAGGGAGAGCACTTGAGAATTGAAGATATCTGGTGTTTCTTAAAGGATACTAATCCAGCCAGATCAGGGCCCTATCCTCATTTACCCGTAATCACTTCCTTAGAGGCAGATTAACTGGTACACTGGAAGCTGAAATTCTTAAAAAAAAAAAAAAAAAAAAAAAAAAAAAAAAAAAAAAAAAAAACCTCATACCCTTTCTGCATTTACTCAATCCATACTTAAATTCAATGATTGTCTTTTTGGATCTGGTTGCTGGTTCATGTTTAATGCTTGCTTCCATTTTATTTATTCTTGATTCCCCCCACCCCCTCTGTTAGCTTTGATTTTGTTCCTTCTAGATTATTCTGGCTTATTCTTACTCATAGATTTTCTCATATTTGTATGGGTATTAATCTGAATTTTAGATGTATTTTACAGTGTCTTAATATTTAATTTAACCCATGTACATCACTGACTTCGTAATTATCCTAATCTGAGTGTTCTAAAATCTGGTAATGACTAGATTTTTAGATCCTTTAGTTTTTTTCTGTTAAGCGATCAGCACCAATATACATGTAGTCTTAAATCAGCTGCTTTAAGATTTGTGCTTTTATCAGAATCTGAGGGGCAAACTCAGAAGTCATTCTTAAAAACCTCTTTTAAAAACCTCTTTGTGCTCTAAATGTTTTAATAGCTTACCTTATTATCTTCACAGACCACTTTTATAAAAATATATACTCACTGTAGATAATTTGGAAAATAAATGGCTATATAATATATAGATATTTTGATTAGTATTTTAATGTATTTCCTTTCCCCTTATTAACTTACATATTCATAAAAACTCAGTGGAATGATGTCAAAAACATTTTAAAAACATTGGGGGCTTTAGTCCATGAGAACAGTAGTGTTTGTAGTGCTAGAGCAATGTACTGAAGTTCTGTTGCACAAGACTCTTGGAATTCAGTGGACTGAATTCCTTAGGGTAAGACCTAGGACAGTGGGGCACAGGGAAATGATGGAAGAATTCAGTAGTGTAACAACTGCATAGATGCATACAGGCTGAAAAGGCAGCTTATATCACTTAGGTATATACACACGTATGTGTATATACCTATTTTTCACTTCAAACATTTTATTAGAAAATGTTACTCTTCAAAAATAGTTTAATGGTTGCATACTTTTCATTATAATCTTTGAGTTATGAATATTAAGTCATAATTTAGGTTGTTTTATAATTGTGATAAGTAACTCATTGGGTTAAATTATAGAAATTTAGGTACTTAATACATATTACCAAATTGCTTTCTAGTATGGTTATCAATTTTTACAAACATTTATGATATCTGTCCTTTTTTCATGTAGTTTAGGTGTTTTATTATCAGTATTTGTAAATTCTAAGAATTAATACTTGAATATTGTGATATTTTTCTCAGTGTTATGCCTAATTTCATAATTTAAAATTTCACATGGTTACAGAATAATACACAGTGTTAAACTCAAGAGTATAGAAACTTTGCTTCTTAGACGCACACAGGTAAGGTGACATGAAAATGCTGTGACAGAGGATTATGCAGTGTAAACAGGATACTGGTACAGTTGCAGATCTAGGACATGGAGTTGTCTAACTTAGACTTCATAAAAAGATGACTCATTGCAGAACTAAAATATATAGCTCATGACTTAAAATAAAGCTATATTCTGGAGACTAGGATGATTCCAAATATACTAGCTAGACATTAGTTCTCTCAAGTCCTTTAAGAATGAAGGCTAAGCTCAATTATAAATCCTAAATGAAACAACAGACACTGAAAATTAGCTTCGGGGTGGGCATGGCAGCATATGCCTGTAATCCCAGCAACTTGGGTGGCTGAGGCAGGAGGATCCAAAATTCAAGGCCAAACTGGGCAATTTAGGAGTTTGGCTTATGAATCAACATGCCTTTTCTCTGGACATGTCTCCTTATTGGCAAAAGGGGAGCTGGATAATCATCTATTAAAAATAGTGTTTAGCTTCACCTTTATCATTTAAGCTGGTTCAGTTATCTTTAAGAAGTAGGATATTATAAGTTAACACCTTAATTAGAACAAAAGTTGCCACATTTAATTTTCTGCCTCCAAGCCTTTAGAATGTGGGAAAATACTGGTTTTATTGGAATTTTATTCATTTATGAGAACTTCATTTCCCATGTAAGAATGATTGCCTAATCTTATAGATCAGGCTTACTATATGATGATTTGGCATGCTTAATAATCAGCAAAATAAATGTTGACTTAGTTCTTGACACTTATTAGGACTTATCTGATATTTTGGTTAAAGTTGATTTAACCTGTATGTGTTCCCCCAGTATCTGTCACGGTGTTGTGTACAAACGATAAATAGAGGTGGAGGGGAGGGATCAACTCTTTATTAAAGCAGCCAATCCACTAGGCACCTATTGTTTGCAGAGCAGACAGGGTTTATAAACTTGGTTGATGAGCAGAACCAGCTGCAATATTTTATTTGGCCCAACCTTCACCAGACAATCTCTGGAATGAGATCTAGAAACATTTTTTTTAACAGTTCTCCCTATCATCCTAATTATCAGATTTAAGAACCACTTGACTTATATTCTCTACTAATGGTGTGGCATTACAAAAATCCAAGAAGGATGATAGATTATTCAGCATATCCCAATAAGAGGCCTTTTGATTTTATCTTTGGAAAAAAAAGGAGCCTCTCCATTTTTTGCTGTTTCAAGAATTTAAACCCTGGGTAAATGCTACAAATTAAATCTTTATTGAAAATAGAAATTGACTCCATTTACCTTGTTTCTTATAAACCTTTTTTTTTTTTAATTGTTGTTCTATAGAGGAGGAGGATGAACTCTTCGATGACCCTCTGCCAGTACCATTAAGGCACAAGGTTCCATACCAGCTAATTCTTCACCCTGAGGTATTTTCGATGACTACAATATCACAAAACCAGCCTGAAAAACTGAGACAAAGCACAGGATGTTTCAAAACAGAGAGTACACAAAACTCTCTTTTGACCAATTTTATAGATTGTGAAGAATCCAATAGTGAAAGTGAGGAAGAATTAGAAATCCCATCTTCAGTGCAAGAAGATCTGGGCCCTGTAACGCTTCCCCAGCAAAAGGTTGATGTGGATGTACCACAGTGGGAAGTATTCTTTAAAAGAAAAGATGACACCACAGATGAGGGTTTGGAAAACTTCCCTTCCTCCACAGAGACGGGAGGATCTCAGTCACCGAAGCTTTTCAGTGACTCTGATGGAGAATCAACACACATCTCCTCCCAGAATTCTTCTCAGTCAACACACATAACAGAACAAGGAAGTCAAGGCTGGGATAGCCAATCTGATACTGTTTTGTTATCTTCCCAAGAGAAAAATGGTGGGGATATTACCTCTTTGAACAAAGGTGCCTACAGACCAAAAACCAAAGAGAGTATTCCTACCTCCCAGATGGAACAAAACGTACTTTGCCCAAAGGACACTTACTCTGATTTAAAAAGCAGAGATTCAGAAATAACCACAGTTCCTAACATTGGAGAACCAACTACTCTGAGTTGTGGGAAACACATACCTGAGAAAAACAGGTCGCTAAATTTTAGCACACATTCAGATTCACAGAGTTCCTCTGATTTTGAAATTCCCTCAACTCCAGAAGCAGAACTACCTAAACGAGAGCATTTACAGTATTTATATGAGAAACTGGCAACAGGTGAGAATATAATAGTTGAAAGAAAAAATGTTCATTCTTAGATATATAAATGGAATACTTAAAAATCTTCAAATATCCTAAAAGACAGCAGCAAAACACACGTCAATGGAAAGACATTTGGGGAAACATACCCCAATTACATGCTGTCTCTAAGAAACTCAGTTCAAATGATGTAAGTTAAAAGGATGGAAAAGAGACACCATTTAAATACTAAAAGTTGGACTAACTATACAAATATCAATTTCTGAATAAAAGGTTCAAGTTACCAAAAAGACATAAGAATCCTAAATTTGCATGCACTTAACAGTCAAAAATACATGAAACAAAAGGAAAAGCAAACTAATGTACAATTAGATTTTAACATTCTTCTCTTTGTAAGAGAACTAGTATAAATACAGAAAATCAAGAATATAGAACTAAACACCATCAGTCAACTGGATCTAATTTACATTTACAGAACACTGCACCTGATAGCAGAACACACTTCCTTCAAGTGCACATGAACATTCACAAAGATACATCTTGGATTATAAAAAATTAGAATAACAATCTATAAATTGATGTTTATGGGGGGGAATTCACCGTTACTCTCAAAAGATGTTCTATCACTTTAAACTGTTGATCTGAATACAGTGGTAAAACTAGAACAATAAGAATGTAAAAGAAAATGCTTATGAATTAAATGACTATATGTTCAGAGTCATTAAATTTAAGTTCACCAGTGCTTCTGAGAAATCAATAAAGCTTTACAAACATTCAAAAACTTCTGTATGCTGACATTTCACATTAATCAGAGCTGAGACATCACTTTTTAGTGGTATCTCACAATTTGTAGATTAAATGGACAATGATTTGTATCTTGATGTTGCATCTAATAAGACCAAAAAGTAATCCTGGATCCACCATACTAGATTAACTATATGTTTGTATAATAGTCATTAATGCTTAAGACTTAGTTTTAATAGTATACCTTATGATTCAAGATAGGCATTCAAAAATACCAGTAAACATTCTTCTGAATATATTCCTAGCATTTTACAATCACACCATTTTTATGTCTGGTAAAAATGCTGGCTGAATTCAAGGGCTAAGAGCAATACAGACTAATTCAACATACTTGTAGAGGTCATCAGATTTTAAAGCAGAGGTTTTGAGTGATAATACTTATCAGTGCTTATTCTGTAAAAAAAAGTTTTTTTATACACACACATATGCTTTAATTCTCATAATTATCCTTTGAGGAATAGGTGATGAAGGCACAACAGGTTAGTTCACATAGCCAGTAAGGGGCAAAGCCAGGATTCAAACACAAGCAATTTGACTTTACAGTCTGCTCTTAAGCACTATGCTATTCAAGTCATTATTAACTAATAATATAGTATAAAAACAGTCAGGACTAATTTAGTTGCTACTTGATTTTTACTTCCAGAACTATTAATTGTTAAAGTGGGAAAAAAGTTGAATCCCAAGACCTAAAAATTTTAAGAATAGAAACTGATTTTTTTTAACTATCCCTGAGTACTTATAAAATATAGTTTTCAGCCTAGTAACTGGATGATCTTGAGCACATTAATGTTACCTAGCCAGTCTAATTCTTAGGTCTAATAAAGGAATGACAGCAACAACCTTCTAGTTTTATGAGAAGTACATTAGTATATACATATACCTAAGCCTTATTCAATAAATACTAGTTCTGAATTCTAAAATTTCTTTGTATTTCAAGGCAAACTTACAATAGTTAGTTTAAGGACCTAATAATTAATAGCATAAAAATTTCAAATACACAATATCTTTCCATATTGTGCTAACTACGTTCAATTATACTTTTAATACTCAAATGCATGAACCCATAAAGGAACTGTCTAGAAATCTTTGGTTAATCTCATCAGCAGATAATTATCAAAATCTTTCTGCATTCTACTAGAAACATTCAAAAGCAAATAAAGTTAAGCCTTGGTAAATGGAATATCAAATGCCAAACTAAATTTATTTTGCTAAGGAGAAACTGAACTAAAAGAAGTACAGTCTAAATTTTGAAAATTTGGAGAAAAACTCATAAGATTTCCAATTGTGTATTACAATCCTACATTAATACTGGAAATGATGGTCTTACAACTTGCATAGATTTATAGTTCAAATGTGTTCTGTTACCCTAGAATACCTGCATTATATTGAGAACAAATTCTGATGTCTTTAGGAAATCAAAATGAAGAAACTAAATGTTGATTTAAAACTAAATGTTGACTAAAATAGTTAAAGTCTCTAAAAGCCTCGTTTTAATAGTTTCTATTATTTTACTACCTAAATTCAGCTTTTTAACATAGACGTAACCCAAGTACTCAAAATCTCAAAGGCCCATTAAATTTCTATTAGTAAGGACAAAACAAGAAGAAAAGTCTTTTTCCCTTTGTCCTCCAGTTTTACATCTTTTTAAAAACCCAGACAGTAGATGAGATTAAATAATTAGATAGTGAAATACTGACTAAAAACTTAAACCTTTAAACCTATGGAAATGATAATTCAAAATAAGCTTTGCCACCAGGGGGGCAACCTATAAATTTGTGATACTTTCTTACCACTGAAATCATGTAACTAAATTTTTATAAAGAAAACACAAGAAATGCTATTTAAAAATATATTTTTTCTTGACACATTCTGTAATTTTTGGTTAGCAGACACTATGAGGCTCCAAACATGCAAACAATTTTTCCTACATTATGAAAGAGCAAAGTCATGTGATAGCAATATAGTGAATAATAAAGTGTACAAAAAAGGAGTTAAGAATCAAGAAGATATTTTAAAGTACTACATTCTTGAATCAGTTCAATGTACCCCAGGTTACTGTAGGTCATTAAAGCCTAGAGCAGTGAGCTTAGGCAGGATTAACTAGGAATACTGGAAGCTAGGTTTGTGGCATCTTCATGTTGGTACACCATGATTAGAATCAGAGATGAAAACAGTTTTCCTGATTGAGGTTTTACTATACATGGGGAAAATCTTTCCATTCAGTCATTATTAACTAATAAAAGGTCTCAATTCAGGCATAGACTTTGGCCAAGTTTAGCTTTATCATATCTAAAAAATTCATATATAAAACAAGTATCAGTTCAAATATAGATTACTTTTTAATAAGAACCTGCAGGAAATATAAAAATAATTGAATCTGATGGAAAGGAAACGTTAAAACTGCCTAAAATTGAGAGGATGTAAAGATAGGATGTATTACATTATCATTAAGTATAGCTGCTCCCCAGGTCTCCTGTTTCAAGGTTTAGACCAGAGACACTCAACATGGATCTCCTGTTTCATGCTAAGTGGAGTGCTCAAAGTGCTCCATTTCCCCTGCCATGGCACTCCAAAAAGCCTGCTGGTTCACCTGTCCTGTCCTTTTCAAGGAATCATAATAGACAGTCATTCTGGACCTTTAGGGAGGGCTTTTTGGAGATTTTTATTCTACAGGATTAAAATCATGTAAGAATTTCAGGTTGAGACATACAGCCTTTATAATGGTCTAGATCACTTCAAAATATGAAATAAAGCTAAAATTAAAATTAAATTTTTTTATATTTAATTTTATACCTTAATTTTTATATCATGAAAATGCCAAGGTTTTAATGAAAAAGTAGAAAATTAGAGTAAAAAAATTCAGTATCACCTATTTGTCTCAAAAACAAGACCAGTGGGTATTAAACAGGAATATAGTAACAAAAATAGAACTTGTATACAGCCCAAATTCAACTATTTCTTTGAAACCAATGTATAAGGCAAGATGAATTTTTCATCTCAGCATTATCATTTTAACACGTTTCAAACAGTAAAGGGAGCACTTCTCTGTTCACACAGACTTCATAAGTATGTACATGCTGAGCCATAGTTGTCTTCCATGTTTGATGTCTAACCACCAAATATGTATACTTTAAATTCGGTTACATGACCCTGTGTCCTCTTCAGAAGCAACAGTAATATATTTGGCAAATGTCTTGAAACATGAATTGTAGATTAACATAAGTATAATCCTGATAATAAGAAAGAGTCCCAAATACTTATTTTTAAAGTGTTAACATTAGGGGAGGAGAAAACTACAATTATCATCAGCTCTGTTTCCTGAAAATTCAGTTGAGGTAACCTCTGCAAGTCACAGCTCCACATTTGCATACAGTTCTGATCCTCTTTTTGGCAGGGCTATGGTCAATAGAATCTGAAGATACATCTCCAGAACCTGAATATACAGAAGAAAAATAGAAGAAAGTAAAGACAATTTAGAATGAAATTCAATTTTTCTATTAGTTTTAAAGCAGCTAGCAAGGCTACTAACTCATGCAAGATCACTGAAGTTTACTCCCAAGGAAATAAAAGTTTTCCCTTTGCATTTATAAATAGGAATGTTCAGACAACTCATTATAATTGCTTTAAAAGGATGGTGTAGGCTAGGTAAGAGGTCAAACTTAGGTTTTCAGGCCACATTTGTGAGATTGGGTCTTTGCAAAGCTGAAACTTACTGGGAAACCCCAATATACATTCATTCTTTTCATATATTAAGAGCAAATAAAGTCAAGCAGTAACTATGAGAAGGACACCATTCTTAGAAAAACAAAGAAAACAAATTTTCCTATTGTCACAATAAAGCAAATGAATTAAATGTCCTTTTTAAAAGTCAGATTCAAGAAGGGATGGAATAAGTTCCTATGTGACTGAAATCATAATTTCAATTTTCTGAACTAACATTGTTTATTAATAAAATTCAGAAATGAATTTTTAAAATACAAGCAGTTTAGTAATGAAAAGGTGTTGTAATAAATCATTTTCTAAAACAGAGCTCTGAAAAAAAGGGGGCAACATGATATAGAAGATACCATTTCCCAGACAACCAGATAAGCTCTGAATCTGAAGACCAGGAACTCTTACAGCCTTGATTTTTTTCATCATTAAAGTTAGTTTGTTGCAGATGATCTAAGGCCTTTTCCTATTTTGATTCTTCATATTGAAACTAACACCAAAGAAACTGTACTCAAAAATCCTACCTTTCATTTGATAATCAAATGTCAGCTCTTCTCCAGCATTTATGGTTCTTGTGGAAAATAATGCTATTCGGGGAAGACGAGTATCAAGGTTATCAATGAAAACATTGAACACCTGAAGATTTGGGTCACACTAAAAAGGAACATTAAAACCCATTTAAGTAAAAGTGATGTGAACAAACTGTTTTACATGCTATATAAAACCTTTAATTTCCCAGTGTGTTTATTTTTTAAGGGCCATAATTATATAAAATAATGGTTACCTGAACACAAGCACTGTGATACTTGTGACAGTAGATCTAATAAATCAAGACAGTTACCAAATATTAACAAGCAGGTAGCATATACCTGATAATGAATATGATGATTCATGTCTTGGGCAGGTTATAGTGGGACAGAATGAGACTTTATTGTACTGACAGAATGGAATGCAATTTAAAACTTTTGAATTATTTATTTCTGGAATCTTCCATTAAATATTTTTGGACTGCAGTTGACTGTGGATAACCAAAAATGTGGAAAGTGAAACTGGATAAGGGGTAAGAACTATATATTCCAAAATTTAGCTACAAATTCCAAAAGTTTGACTCAATGTTTTACTGGAAAGTTGCTTAGGCATGTACATTCAAAAGTACTATTTACACATATAAAAAATTTTCAAACATACACAGAAGTAGAGAAAATAATACAGTAAATCCCTAAGTATCTGCTTAGCTTCAATAATTATCAATATGTTTATCAATCATCATCTTCTAGTCCCAACACTTTTTTTTTCCTGAAGAATTTAAATTTGACATTATTTCATCTATAACATCTCAGTAGGTCACACAATTTAAAAAACCAGAATAACAGTATTTTAAAAATCAAAAATCAGTACCATGGAATAAATTTGAAATTGTATGGAGTTTCACTGCTTAAACTTTTGTTTATAATTGTCCAATATTTTGAGAAAATTCTCCACTAAATTATGGAATATCCAAGAAGAGTGATATAATCAATCATACTATGAAATCAAATTACATAATTAGTTGTCACTGAATAGAATATAAGTGTTTTGGAAGTACAGTTGGCTCTCTGTAACTGTGGAATCTCCATCCACAGACTCAACCATTGGCAGATCAAAAATGTTTGGAGAAAAAAATTATACTTATATTGAACAGGTACAGACTGTTTTGTCATTACTCTCTAAACAGCAATAGTAAAACATTACATTGTATTAAGTATTAGGAGATTATCAAAGTATAAAAAAGGATGTGCAGGTGATGTGCAAATACTATATACCATTTTATGTAAAGGAACTTGAGGGATTCTGGAACCAATCCCCTGAGATACAGAAGGATAACTGTTATCTCCAATTTATCATTAAGAAAAAAATTCTTTTAAAGCAAAAGTTTAAGTCATAAAACAAGGGGGTCAGAAGGTCTCTCACATATCACTGATAATCACACATCAGTTTTTTGTTATACAACCCATTAGGTTACCATGATTTATAACATCAGCTGTACAACTTACTCTTTAAAATATGTTTTTCTTATATCTATAACATTGTCTATAAAATGGAGATATCAACCTAACTAGCCCTATATACCTGACATTTAGAAGGTGCCCTCAAATTAACTTATCTTGGGAAGTAGTTTTCTCAGAGGATGCGACTCTGGAGTTATAATTACAGCTCTCAGTTCTTTAAAATACAAACGCTAATGGAGAATTATTTATAACTTAGGAGTGAAAATATCCCAACTATTTTGATATTCTACAAATCCTTAAATTTTATTTTAAAAATGTTAACATGCTTATGTTAAGAAAATACAACAGTCCTCCTTTATCCATAGGAGATTCAGCCCAAGACCCTAGTGGATTCCTGAAACCATAAATCAGTACTAAACCTTATCTTTGTTAGGTTTTGTCCCTAAATACATACTTATGATACATTTACCTTATAAGTTATGCACAACAAAAATGACAATAACTAAAATAGAACAATTCTGTACTAAATGTAATCTCTCAAAATGTTTTACTTTCTACCTCTACACTTTTAAAAAACACTATACTCTTTGGCCTATTCAAATTGCCAGCAACACGACGCTTATGTTTTGGGGCCATTATTTTATTTTATTAAGTAAAATAATGGTTACCTGAACACAAGCACTGTGATACTTAGATAGTAGATCTATTAAACCAAGACAGCTACCAAATATTAACAAGCAGGTAGCATATACCTGACAATGTATATGATGATTCATATCTTGGGCAGGTTATGGTGGGACAGTATGAGATTTCATTGTACTGACAGAATGGAATGCAATTTAAAACTTATGAGTTATTTATTTCTGGAATCTTCCATTAAATATTTTTGGACTGCAGTTGACTGTGGATAACCAAAAATGTGGAAAGTGAAACTGGATAAGGGGTAAGAACTATATATTCCAAAATTTAGTTATATTAACTCTAATTTAGAGTTAAATATACTTGCAAGTGATTTTTTATTTATTTATTTTTTTTTGTACTGGGGATTGAATTCAGGAGCACTCAATCACTGAGCCACATCCCCAGCCCTTTTTTGTATTTTATTTAGAGTCAGGGTCTCGTTGAGTTGCTTAGCACTTCACCATTGCTGAGGCTGGCTTTGAACTCAAGATCCTCCTGTCTCAGCCTCCCAAGTCTGGGATCACAGTTGTGCACCACTGTGCCCAGTTTTGAGTATTTTATTTCTTAATTCTCATTTATTAATTTCCTCTGTGATATGAATACCTACCTTATAAATATTATTAATTGAAAGACTAAGCAAAGCATAAAGACTCTGGAAAAACTTGTAAGCACTTCAATGTTGACCTTCCTAATATAGCTATAATACCATGACTTAACAGAAGAGACCTTCCATTAACATAATTTGAAAGGGATATTAAAAATGATTTTTCTTCAGCCATGGGAATTCATTAAAAGCAGTATTAAAAGTAGTATTAAGTTGAATTATTTATCTTATCTATAATTTAAGCATTTTTTTTTCTTACACTGTGATTCACAAAATGAGACACATTTCCATATCGGGCTGCATCCACTGTGAATTCATCAGATTCATAATCCAGATCAAAGAGATATGTGATTCCTTTGTTGTCATATAACTGCCCCCGTCTTTCAGCTTCTTCACTTGTGATTACCTAGATAAAAAACTATAGTATATTATGTAGCTATTGCTGAACTGAAGAAACATTCATCCACAGATTATTAATATATTGATGCCTACAAATGTTTAAAAAAGAAATTTAAGTGTTATCAAAACAAACATTCAACATGAATTAAGAACTAGATGAAAGAGGCAGGAAACATGAAGGGAGAAAAGCTGATGGTGAAAAAGAATAATTCTTCAACTTTTTTAAAAATTAAATTTGAAACACTCATTACTTTCATTATTATAAGACTGTTCAAAAAGCTGTAAATATAGCCTCCTATAGGACATAAGCACATTTACAAGTGTAAATTTTCTAAACGTGCTCTGAAGGCACATTTTTCCTATAACTAATCTGCACACAGTTACAAGTGGAAATTTATTATATAACAAGAGAAGGTATGTTAAATTTGCAGTCAATTGGAAAGTTTTGTAGAAAATGTAGCATGAAATTCTATAGATGAAAATTCTCCAGCCCCTGGATGATAAAGTTAACAGTGGTAGTGTTTGCCTTCCATGTGTGAGGCCCTGGGATCTATCCCCAGCATAAAAAAACATCATCTATAGTTCTGCTCTTAGGAACACAACTTTATCACAAGCTCAGTTCAATAAACCAAAACTGTCTAAAGTGATTCGTGCTATCAACCAAATTTGACTGCTATATTTAAAAAAAAAAGAAATATATAAGATCCAGCTTCTTGAATAATGATCTATAATAATCTGCCATTGTCTAAAAATAAAGGATCAAAACAAGAATCTCATATAATTTCAGAATCTTAGAAGACTACAGAAACCGGTCAGATTTGATGATCCCAGACAAGCAACCACATTCACATTCCTAGTCCCAGCTTGATCCATCATTCAGTTTTAGGTAGTGTGGGGGCGCAGTCAACAGTACTCATTTTGAATCTTGATTCTTCCTGATAACAATATAAACTGTGATATTGGGCAACTTCTTCAATTTCTCTGTATCTCAGTTTCTCTAACAACATAGTTAATAGTTCTACCTGATTGAGTTGGGAAGATTATTGAGTTCATATAATAAGATGCTTAGAACAGTATGTGGTACATGGTGAATATTATTTTTATATTTATGCATGGTTTGTATATAAATAAACTTGATAATATTTGGTCATTTGGAGAATGGTCTACAGTTCAAAATATCTGATTTTCAGATGCAGTTTGATTTTCTTATAGATGCAATAAATGCTTTTGTGTCCCCTTTTACAAATTTATAAAGTATTGATCTACTCTATATTTTTCATATTGATACAAAATAAGTATAGCCATAACATAACCATATTTGGCCAAATGAATTAATTATAACTTTAAAGTTTCAATGTCAGTATGTGTTTAGGTCTGATTTTCTTCTTAACAAAACTATAAAATAAAAATTACTTGTTATATTTTAAAATGTACACATACTATGTTCAATGACTATAAGTGGGTGTTTTTTGAAAAACAGCTGTATAAACTTGTCATTATCTATTTTTGCTCAGATGTAAAATTAGAATTTTCCTTTTGACGAGGTGGTTACCGAGGATTGAACTCAGTGACACTCAACCACTGAGCCACATCCCCAGCCCTATTTTGTATTTTATTTAGAGACAGGGTCTCACTGAGTTGGTTAGTGCCTCACTTTTGCTGAAGCTGACTTTGTACTTGCGATCCTTCTGCCTCAGTCTCCTGAGTCCCTAGGTTTACAGGCTGTGCCACTGCACCCGACCAAAAGTTTACATTTTTAATTATACCATTGAACCCTTCTCCTAAACCTGAATTTCTTTTTATATTTGCAAATGATGTATCAAGTATTTATGTTAATTGAGGTAAAAAGGTAACGTTACAAAAATATAAACCTTACAGGACATTATGTGATAAACTGAACGTACCTCTCCAACATATTCCATGACAAAACTCATTTTTTTAATCTTCATAAGGGTTTTTACACCCCAGCCACAGCCATTGCTAGTTCGAAAGATGCAAAGTGAATACTGTGTGCCTTTTTGTACAATCCTATTGGGACAATCAGGTCCACATCGGCACCTTGAGTTGCATTCATAGATGGGGGTACCAGGTGGGATTCTAATTTGCTGGTTCTTATTATAAGCCAAAAGAACTCCAGCTTCAGCAGGACAACATTTCTCAAAGTAACAATCTGTGCATGAACAACCAAATGTAGCTTCATTGACTAAGCTGATCCCAGGAGCTGGTTTGTATTCATTAATGTAGAAGAAGTCTGAAGGTGGACCCTCTAAGTCAACAGTATTTTCAACAAATATCATTCCTTTATGATTCTTTCTTCTGTTGAGTTCATCTTGCCATCTCTGCAGAGCTATCCTTTGTTTGGCTTTCTTTACAATGTATTCAGCAACAGCAGGTTTCAAAGCTTTGTTATTGTCTTTTGAAATTACTGATTTGCCTTTCTTTACCTGAGATAAATAATTATGCCTGTCATTAGAGAATTGTTGAAGTAGTAACGGACACTTGAGATTTTGTAAGGGTTCCCAAGTATTTGTAGAATCTGGCCATCCTTTCCATTTTACAAGATAATATTCCATATCCTTAAAATGCAAAAGAATGCAATTAGATCATGACATATTATTTAAGATAATTAAGCACTTTAAAGAGTAAGCTACCATTACCATTTTTCTTGAGAGATTTAAGAATACGTGAAGAGCCGTAAGTTTCTATCAGTTGAAGTACAGATCACATAAACTATTTTTCTTTATATTACATAGAATTTATATACAGCATAATATGTCTGACAATAGGTTAAGAAGTCTTATCTAGAGAAAAACAGAGATACTAAAATTTATGAATATTTGACTAAACAGCTATTAGGTCAAATATAAAATCATTTATTGTAATTATGGAAATATATGATCCTAAAGCTAACTATCCATGACTTACGTTAGTGGCTTACTTGGCTAGCATAGATGCAGGCTTTCTTTAAGGTCCAGGACTTAATATTGTTAACTGGACACTAGGGAAATTATATTTCTTAATGTCATGGGCACTCATCCCCTAGATATACTAAAGATGCACTGTCCAATACAGTCACTGCTCAGCTACTGAGAACCTGAAATATGGCTAGTCTGAATTGAAACATGCTTTAAGAATAAACACACTGAATTTTATAGACTTGGGCAGGGGGAGTAAAATACGTCTTTCTAAGTTTAAAAAAATACTGATCAGGGACTATGGTTATGATTCAGTGGTGGAGTGCTAGACTCCTACGTGTGAGGCCCTGGGTTCGAACTTCAGTACCACATATAAATAAACAATTTTAAAAAGATATTTAAAAAAATACTGATCACGTGTTGAAATATTTTGCATATTTTGGATTAAATATACTACTGAAAGCAATTTCATCTCTTCCTTTCTACTCTGTTCAACAGGGAAAATTTTAAGATATCCTGTATACACTGTATTTCTATTGAATGACATTCTAGAGAATGCTAGCCTTATTTACAGTCAGCCATAACTAATCAATTGGATCAGGTAACTACCAAGGCACTCCAGCTACCAAAAGTCAAATAATTTGACTTATCACTCAAACTGATGTTGGTCATCATGGTATCCTGAATCTTGTGTTTGTTTACACCACAGTAATATATTTTCTTTCCTTAAAATCAGGCAACATCTTGTTTCTTAACTTTCTCTTTTAAAAAGTTAAGCAGGGCTTGGTGATCCTGTAATTCTAGCAACTCCAGAGGCTGAGCCAGAGGCTGAGCCAGAAAGAAGGATCCCAAGTTCAATGATTAGGATTAGCCTTTAGCAAAGCCCTAAGCAATTTAGTGAGATCTGTGTCAAAATAAAAAATAAAAATGGCTGGAGGCTGAGTACCATGGCGCACACCTGTAATCCCAGCAACTCAGGAGGCTGAGACAGGAGGATCCTGGGTTAAAAGCCAGCTTCAGCAACAGTGAGGAGCTAAGCAACTCAGTGAAACCCTGTCTTTAAATAAAAATACAAAATAGAGATGAGAATGTGGTTCAGTGGTTGAGTATCCCTGAGTTCAATCCCAAGTACCCACCCCGCCAAAAAAAAATGCAGTTAAGGATATAGAATAAATTTATAAATTCCAAAGTGAAGTCTCTCACTACCTTTTTCTCATCCTCCAGAACAACTAATATATCCACATGCCCTAAGATAAAATAAGCTCATAAAATTCTTCTGAAATATGAAAGTAATTAAACTGCATCTGACAATTTCTAAGTATCATATAATGTAGGGGATAATGAAAAAACTTAATTGGGACTAAATTTGCCTTTCCCTAAAAAATTTAGTGAATTTTTAATTATAAAGTAAGGATGTACAGGACAGTTATTTAAGTGTCCATTAATTCCCTCCATCCCCCACCAAATTGCTGGGGATAGAATCCAGGGGTCTCTTGCAGCTGGGAAAGCACTCTTCCACTGAACTATTCCTTCTCTAAGCCCATATCCACAATTTAAAAATGACAAATAACCTGAAAGGTCTAAGCTATGTTCCCTAGCATACTTATGCTGAAGATAAAAACTGGACTAAGGAACACTGTGACACATTCACGACTGAACTTATTTTATCCTCATTATCTATATCTTAATGTTTTATTTTATTTTACTCAACAAGCAGTAATTCTTATGAATAAAATTAACTTGCTTTTTGAAAACTGCAAAAAAAACCATTTTCAAAAAACCCATTTCTGTTAAAAAATGTGTTAAATTATGGTCTAAGGACATGCACAAAAACTGTATTTCCACAGAAATAAATAATTGTAGTGCCAGACACGGAAAAAAATAAAAAAAGGACTAGATGTACAACAAAGTATTTTTGTCAAATTAAGCCTAAGATCTAAAGATTTCTTCCCTTTATCAGATGCCTGCTAATAATAGTCCAAGTATGTTGTTATCTATACTGAAGCAGACATGAAATACACTTGGCAGTATCTAACATATATCACTAAGTTTTAAAAATTTTTTGAAGCCAGAATAAAGCAATGCAACCCTGGTCCTTTTTTTTTTCCCCTGCTACATTTTTCCTACAATAGTCCTGACTTACGCCAAACGTTGAAAGAAAACAAAGAAACAGAAATCCAGGCTGTTAAGTCAGATGGTTAAATATAATCCAGTAAAGTTAAAAACATCTAACTCTAAAGTTTATTTCAAATTTAATCTATTGTACTGTTTAATCTTGCATTTAAGTGACTAAATTTTATATATTGACCACATTGGCACCTACTTAATTTATGGGGAGTAAGTATACTTAGAAAATATGAATGCCTCTGACAAAAGAGTATAGAAATATTTTATCTGTGGTCTGTAGACATTTTACAAGCATATTTTATTTTTAAAAATCTAAAAGACTTTCTTTTTTGAAAAATAATTTTACAAAGGAAAATTAAGAAACAAGTTCAGTTAATTCAATAGCCTTAAATCCTAAGTCAAAAAGCTCATAGACATATATATATATATGTGTATATATATATATATATATATCAGTATCTTATTCTGATGCGTAATCAACTCTTGATTACCTTTAGAAATGGAATACAGCAGTAAAAAATAACTATGTAATTTGGAATGCACCAAAGTTTTTTCTTCAAGACATTTCCGCCCAATATATTTGGCTTAAATTAAATTTAAATATTTTAGTATATATAACAAATATATGAAAGTTTGGGCACTGGAGCATGAAGAAACAATAAGGTATTACAAGCCTTTACAAATAAAATTTAATTGGAAAAAGAAGGCAATAATATGCGAAACAGCTAGCAGTGCAAGGCAATATAATTTTCAATGCCAAAATAATTAAGTCAAGCAATACCACTAGAATATAAAGAGGAAAATCAGTATAGTCCAGATAAAGGGAACAGAGGAAGTAGAACCAACTATACTGTGAAAGGCTGACAGAATTTGTTGGGTAGGGAGCATGGCAGATAGGGTGAGAAACACAAGCAAAAGCTTGAAGCTAAGATTTGCATGAAGTATCCAGAAAACAGTTAAAAGATGAACTTGTCTAGCTTTAAAGTTCAGAATGTTGAATCAAGATAAAACCAATGCTAAGCTAAGGGAAGAACAAATTTACCCTGACTATTTGGCTGAAGAATCTGAACTGGCCCAATCAATCTTACAGTTCTTAGAATACATGGCATTTCTGTGGGGAAATTCTAAATACATTTAACTCCACCTACTTAGTAAAGTTTATTAATCTAATTGCCAAACCAATGAATTCTTCAATCCTCACCTAATTCAAGCTCTCTGAAGCAATAGCCCTCACTTGACCATTCATTAGGCTTAAATATCATGATATTGTTTTCATTATTGTTCCTTTTCTCATTTTCTTTGCTAAGATTGCTTCCTCTGTCCATCACTTAATGTAGATACTCAGGACCTGTCCTTGACCCTTTTTACACTAAAAAAAAGTATTGATGCCTTTTGATTATCTGATGGAAGCTATGGAAATTTCCATAACAAATGTCAGATATATATGGGCTGGGGATGTGGCTCAAGCGGTAGCGCGCTCGCCTGGCATGTGTGCGGCCCGGGTTC